AAATTGGTAGATTATTTCAAAAACAACAATAACACTTATTCCCTTAATTTTACCCCGATTTATAACTATAATATATGAATACATAATAATTACAGTAATTAAATTGAGTATGAAAGTGGTATTCAATAATATAATATTGTAATTTTTACGGAGATATTATAAAAATAAAAAGGAGTTGTATATTCATATACTTTTAATGCGTATACAAATTTAAAGGAATTTATGCAATACTTTTTAATAAAAAAATTTTGTTACTTATGAATAAATACACTAAACAAAAGGAACTTTCATCAGAAAAAAAATATACTTTTCTAAATAAACTTTTCGTGATGTTTTCAAATGTGCAATTAAACTTTTTCTATTACTTCTAAGTTTTAATATTATTACTTATTATTAAAAAATAAGTATTTACATATAAAAAAAAATAATTAAGAACAAAAAAAATTGTATTAAATTAATACTGATTTTGATTTTTAATATGTTAAAGGTAATCATTTTGAACCTATTTTTTATTGTCTTTTAAAGTGAAAGTTTTAATGAAAAATACCTTCTCAGCTTCGCATCGAAGCTAAAAAATGAATTTGTTACCATAACTTATAGTTCAACTTGCAAGTTTGAAATTGACATTATTAAATTGAAAAAAATGAAATTTTTAAGATTAATATGCAATCTGGAAATTTTATAATTACTAATTACAGTACATTTGTCAGAAAAATTCGATTTTTTTACATTTTTATCGTAATAGATAACTGAAATAGAAAGAATAGTAATCATATCCTAATAACTTTTGGTGTTTAAAAAAATTCTGCAATTGAAATATTCAGAACTTAATTAATTTTAATAATTTACTTTAATTAAATGAACCAATCAAACCAAAGTAGTTAAAAAGATTTACTCAATTGAGCATATTATCAAAAATATAATTATAATTGTAAAACTCCATCGTTAACTTCAGGTGAAACTAAAAATCATTTTTTTTTTAAATTTATGATTTATATAGCAACATATTACTAAAAAATTTGGCATATTATAGACTGGTAGTAGCACACAGAAATAGAGTTAAAAAATTAATAAATTATAAAGTAAAATTATTTACTTTTGTAGTTGAATACTTTTATCATATCAAATTTAATTCGACAATAAATAATTTAAGAATATTAAAAATTAATGATTTTAATTGTTTGTATGGACAAATCTAGTTAAGCTACTTTTTATTTGAATAAGGAATATTTTTTTGATTTTTAAGAGTAATAACTTAAACTAATCATTAACTTAAATATCATAAACTTAAATGAATCATTTGACGTATCGTTGAAAAAAGTAGGTCTAGTGAGGGTTGGCAAAATAAATCGTAGCCAGAAAAAGAACCACATAGTAAAATAATATTAACATGAATATCAATTTCTTCTCACGAGGGGAGACTATAGTGATAAGATCCTTTATATTTATTGAAATTATTGAATCTAAATGAGATAAATATCAAATGATTTGAAAATTCTATTCTAACTCAAAAACTAACTCAAAGCAGTTGTAATATTATTGCGTTATCAATATTTATCCACATCATAGATTAAATACAAATTGATAGCCTACGCCGTATATAATTTTTTTCAGTTTAATTTTTATTATGTTGAACAATAGTATTAATTTTGAGAGCTTCTACTGATTAAAATATACATGGTAATTAAATTTTTTAATAATGATTATATATATATATGTGTGTACATTAAACAAAATTGATTGTTGTACACATTAAATGCATTTTATGATACGATGAGAGGTTTTCTACGATTTAACTCTTTGTAGTTATTTTTTCATTTAAATTAAATTATTTATTTTAATACTATACTAAGATTCTTTAATAGGAATTTTACATAAAATATGATATCACAGTACTAGACTGATCTATTGGTCTCTAAATATTTTTAAAAATTATTTTAAATAGAAGGCAGTGGCAGATAAGTTGTTTTGTTATTAGAAGGACTTGAAAATTCTATATAATAAAATTCAATATTTGAGTTGTGCCCAAATACCACAGAGCTTTTATATTTGTATTTATTTTGTATTTGTTTTACTATATCAAGATGTATATATAATAATCACATCTAATAGTCCATAATAATAAAATATATAATTTATATTAAAATAGTAACCCGTTAGATTTACATATGTATAAATAATAACTAAGTATTCAATTCTAATTGCCCAGATGTGAGTTTTTAATGGTTTTTTTATATTAATTATGCTCAATAACTTTTAAATTGAAATATATATAAAATTTCCAAACCGCTATTATTAAATATTTAATATGTGTTCGAGAGAGATCTGATAACAAAGGTTTCGATTTACGATATAACAAAAAACAATTAAATAATAGAACACAAATTTTAATGTCATTCTCGACATAGACGTTTAAGTAATTTATTAGAACGAAGAAATGATAAAATAAAAATTATTAATAATTAATAACAAATGTGTCATGAAGCTGTGTCGGCGATCACATAACAAAAAGGAACGACGTAAAAAAGCGGGTGCGAACATCAACTTGCATCGGTCAACTAGTTGATGGTGGTGGATCAGCGTTGTCAACATTTAATATGGCGTTGACCGCGTAAATTTCTTTAAATCAACGTTTAGGACCGTACGAACAAAAAGTATTATATTATTATTGGTTGCAGCTATTATATTTTATCAAATATAATATTTATAATTTAAACTTAAATGATAACTACTATCAAGGTAACCGAATCAAAAATAATATGAATAAATATAATTAATAAAAATAAAAATAAATTTCATATCTATCACCCAATTTCTCAATAATTCATTAATTTAATGAGGTAAGGTTATGTTCACGACGAATACCTACTACATATAAATTTACAAACAATAATAACTCACGTGACATACAACGGTAACACTAGTTGACTAGGTAAGATGCTGGCTGGGGGCAGCCGAACGTATTTAATGTCCACATGTTTTTTTTAATAACTGTCTTATCTTAGTGTTTAACCGGCATACTGATAAGTACCGTTAGTAATATGAGTCATATTGAGATTTAAATAACAAATTCTATGTATGTTAATTCCATTTTCCCCTCTTACCAATATTATTTGCAATCGCGTTCATAACTAAATAACAAATAAGTTAAAATAATATACTTTTAATATAATTAAGTGCATATAAATCAATTAAATTATTATTTACTTCTTGTAACTTCACTGGTGTCAGTAGCTAAAAATAAATACATTTTATGTTAATTTTTTTTAGACAATAAACTTTCCTTTGGTATGCATAGTATGAAAATCCAATGAAGAATCATTGTTCCACTATGAGAAAATTGGTCGTCAAATTAAACATTTTTTAAACAAATAAATTTCTAAGAAAAATTAGCCTATAACTCAAAGCCACATTAAGATCTAAATAAAAAATTCTATGTATAGTAATTCCATTTCCTCTTCTTACCATTTTAAGGTGAAGTCCTATCGATAACTAAATAACAAAAGAGTTAATATAATAATTTTTAGTAATATCCACTGGATATAAATGAAATTATTATTTACTTTTTATATTTTTGGCAAAGATATTTACTAAAAAAATACATTATATATATAATAGTAGATAAGAAATATATGTTCTGACACAATTTCACAGTGAAATGTGAAATGGTCATTAGAGGGCGGCATTTCAACCCAGCGAAACCCCCCTAAAAAATAACTATGATACAAATAATAAATATTTTTATTTATTTCCACGTACTCATTATGTATAAGTAATGATATGTGTTTTTATTAGTATAATTAATATGTGTATTGGTTAAGTAGTTAAACATTCTTGCGAACAGTCATTTACGCTATTGAGTAATCTTTAATGTATCTTTCTAATTAAATCATACACGAACATGTTTAACCTTTATGTGACTGAAAAAAAGAACAACTTTATATGACGGTGTAAGTACCCGGGTACCTACAATATAGTTATCTGTGCTTTTCCGGTAAATTATTTCATTGTCGTCAGTCTATCGCTTTTATATCTTATTATATGTAATTCTTCTCGTATCTGGTGTACATAGATCTAATAAAGAACATGTATCAGAAATGTGGAAATTAGACTCGTTACCTCTCATTCGAGCTGCAATGTCTCGAGATCGATTCAAAATGTTGCTAAGGTTTATTCGTTTTGATAATGTAAACACTCGTAATATATGTATTACAACAGACAAAGCTGCACCGATTCGTGATATTTGGACATGCTCAATCAAAACTTATAAACCTACAGAAAATATAACAGTAGACGAACAATTATTTTCTTACACCGGACACACAAAATTTACACAGTACATTCCATCTAAATCTGCAAAATGTGGAATAAAGGTTTTTTGGGCTTGCGATGCAGCAAATGCTTACCCTTTGCATGGTAAAATTTACACAGGCAAATCACAAGATGGTAAACGTTAAGTAAATATTGGTGAACGTACAATTCTAGACTTAGTTGCGATGTATAAAGGTTCTGGACGAAATGTGACTACAGACAACTTTTTTACAAGTATGCAATTGGCTACTACATTAANCTGTCGATTAATTATTTATGACATAAATATATTTACAATAATATTAAAAAAAAAAAAAAAGAAATTTTTTTTCTTAACAGCATGGCACAAGAAAAATATACATTCAACGGTACTGAACTGTCTATGGTGGACAGCCGAATCGAAAAGTTCTTCGGCGAACCCGGTGCGGTGTTTGCCCACTGTACCAGTTCAGACTTTGACCACCCCCGCAGAATGACAAGAGGCGTTGCTCGGGAATTCGCGTCGTTCGTCGGGAAACCGGTAAGGTCCGATTGGCTTTCGGCTTACATTTGCATACAACAAAAAAAATCCAATACAGTACTGACTCTTCTAACAAAATCAAACTATAATAAAAAACCCTCTATCTACGACTTCGAATCTGCCATCTCCCAACTATCGGATTTTTTACTATTAAATAACATACGGGGGGTTACCCTGCCTCCGATCGGAATGAATCGCGACAAAATACCTATTGAAATCGGAGCGCGCCTCATTTACCATCATTTGCTGTGCCGGGGACTAAATGTAAGAATATGTGCGACGGACCAACTCTACCGCCACTTGTACCATCAGTCCCATCTGCTAGAACACCGACATTTCATTAAAAACAATCATTATATTTAATTATATTTTTGTATTTTGTATTATTTAGTTATTTATTTATATAAAATTTTTTTTTTGCTCTTTTCTCACTCTATCAATTAATTACAAAAGCGTTCATAATCATTCTTAGAGTTTATTTTATTACTACACAGTTTATCATATTCAATTTAAATGTCAGCTGTTTAACATCTAACTTCCATAGTTCGCCAAACATCTTATTTATACCCGGATGACCATTCCCGGATGATTTTATGTTTCCCAGACGTATTTTCCTGGATGATTTTATTTTTTTTCCCGGATGACCATTCCCGGATGATTTAATTTTTCCAGACGTATTTTCCTGGATGATTTTATTTTTCCCAGATGCTTTTCCTGGACGTTTTTATTTATTCACAGGACATCATTCTTTCGATCTTAACACCGCGCAACCTTGCTGATGCAGCGTAATGGCCAACGAAGCATTTTAATAGGTAGCGCACCGAGAATTAATACGTGATTCCTGACCTCTAATGTACAACATTATGAATGTATTTATTATTACACCTTGATTTGTTATAAATATATTATTATTATTATTTTTTTTTTTTCGTTTTTCATTTATACATGGCAACTATTGGTATTTTATCTTTAAATCGCAAATTGATTATTAACACGCACGTTACGGATTTTCCATCAACATATGGTATGACTTGAAAACTTATATATTTAATTTTAAATCTACAATAATCCAATATTTTATACTTTATAAAAATCTAAGTAACTTCATTTAATTTTTTATAAATAATAATTGATTTTATCTCACGCACAGTCGCCCACAGTAAACATAGTAGCATAAATATAAAAACAAAAAAAAAACCTATTAAGAGATCCGCCTACGTTTACACCGTTTAGCTCTCATTCATACATTTGCTTATTCCATATAATTCATAGCGAGTACATTAAATAAATCACGAACAATTGGTACGCTTATTAAAGCATTTTTCTATTTTGTATGGTATATCGAAGTGATGCGTACACATACATATTATTAATAAATGAGTTAGTTTCAGACGTCAATAAAGGAAACAATCTCGACAAATTAAACAGCTGTTTTCACAGCTACCTTAATAACATATATATTTTTTTTTATTGTATGAAAACTTTGAACTAAGAAACATAAGCGCAAGTCTGCCACTACAAGAACTCGCTATTGTAAATTTTTTTTTTTTTCATTACGCGTATATTAACTGGATCTGACTTTTACGAATGAGATGACATTTTTTTTTTCTCACCTCTTAAATCAATTGTCCATTATACATTAAACATTTGCTTATAATAACAAGCGTNATCCATTTTACAATAAACATTTGCTTATGCATGATTAACGTAACTAAGACACCTATGTAAATGTAAGCTTGGTTTTTTTGACAACGTTTTGTCTACTTACATTAGATTAAAGTAACTCAAATACATTTTAAATGTTAACTAAATTAATTATAAACTTTATACCTATATTATTAGTGTTATTATTACTATTATTATTATTCTTTTTATATTCATGCATAAGGTTAATTTTACAATGTCGACTTTTACCCTGATAATTTTTAAATGCAATTAAACGTTGTCCATCTTACACAAACCACGTGAACAAAATGTTGCCAAACTTTGGTGCCCCGAGGCTTATCAAGAAGCCGACGACAGGGCAGAGCTTCTCATAGGAACCACTTGGTAGCCGACTATTGAAAGCTCCACCGAAGGAAGCTCCTCAAAGGCTCAAGAGCCTACGAACCTAGGAGTGTGGTCATCGAAAACAACAAGTGGTTTTGTGCTATGATGACACTGTACCTCCTTGATCAACCAATAACATTACCTTTATTTTCAGGATTTATGTACTTTTATCAACAATTCCCTTTTCACTGTATTGTTTTTCTTTTAAAAGATTCAGAGACGAATCTTACCGGGGGAGGGCGAACTGTAACGTACACATTATTCGTCCTTCACCAACATTAACATTTCAATACCACACTAGTGCCTGAAATGAATATGACATTGGTTGGTACTGTCAGAAAAAATAAAAGATTCTTGCCTCCCAAAATGCTTCCATCAAAAGCCAGAGCGTTACATTCTACAAATTTTGTATTTAGAAAAGATTTAACTCTTTGTTCTTATGTTCCAAAAATAAATAAATCGGTTATTCTTTTATCTACAATGCATATGACAGCCGACATAATGCAAGCTGCTACCGCTTATCCAGAAATTATAAAATATTATAATCTGACAAAAGGAAGAGTAGATACAATGGATAAAATGTTAACAGAATACACAGTAAAGCGAAGAACTAATCGTTGGCCACTTGCATTTTTTTTCAACATGATTGATATTGCTGCTTTATCTGCATATATTATATATATGGAACACAATCAAAGGTTTAACACAACTGATCGACGCCGAAAATTTTTAAAAGAGCTTGCAAATCAGTTATGTATGCCTGCAATAGAAATTCGAACCTCCATACCTAAAGTAGTAGAAAATCGATATACTCGTAATTCAATGGAAATGGTTCTCGGACGGCCAATACAACAGATAATTGCTATTCATAAAAATGAACCACCTCGTGATGCTTCAGGACGTATTCAAATAGTTGGAAGTTGCTTAGTATGTCAAGAATTGGGTTATAAGCAACGGAAAACTCGAAAAGCTTGTTCAACTTGCTCAAAGCCTATTTGCAATGAACACTCAATAAACAAATCATTTTGCGAAACTTGCAATCAACAAAAAACCTAAATATGTTATAATACTTACTAAATATGTAAAAAATAACATTTTTGTTCTCTTAATATTTGTATCTATTTTATTGATGTCCAGTAAAAATATTTATCAATGGTAATTTAACTTTTTTTTGTATCAATAAAACCTACATTTAAATACAATATATAGAGGTACCCAGGTACCTACTACGTCCTTATAAGGTGTAAAATTAACAACGATATTTTAAGTATAATAAATTATATACTTTTCAAATACAAAATATAAATTTGTGAACTATACATGCTATTTAGAGATGTCACAGAAGGACTAACCATACATACTAAATATTTAGAAGGAAAATAAATTTAAAAACTGAAAAGGTACCCGGGTACCTTTCCAGTCACATAAGGGTTAAGTCTGTCAATGATTAGTCTAATTGGTCGGGGTAGGATTATAAATTATTAGAAATTTGTGAAAATATTTAACATCAAAAAAGGAAAGTGTAGTATATAGGAGTAAATGCTATGTAATTAATGATTTAATAATCGATTATGATACAATTAATGAGTAATTTTTCGTATAAATGAACGTGGAAACTCCGATAAAGTTACATCGTCTTCAAGAACCTTCAGCTGTACAACAACTCTTCTAAACGAACAATATGGTCGC